TTTTTTCATTTTGAAATAATCTGAGATTTCTGAAAAGTTGCAAGAGTATATAGAATTCCTGCACATTATTCACCCATCTTTCCCAAGTGCTGTGACTTCTCCTGTTATTACTGCCACTACTACTACTAAGAACCAACATTCATTCCGAGGTTACTGATGTACCAGGTGCTATAACACATGGAGTATCACATTTGATTCGTACAACGCTTCAAAATGAGAACATCTTCATTACTTGAGAAAACTAAAGGACCAAAAGGTGAAGTAACATATTGCAAGTCATAGCTACTAAATGGCAGAGTAAGGAGTTAAACCAAAGACTAATTCCAAAGTCTGTATTCTCACCTACTAAACTATCTTGTCCAATTTCAGTAGTCATTTATTGTCTTAACCTATCATCTAATTCCAAGTGTACGGCTCATATTCTTTGAAAGGCATTTAAAATAATAAAGTTTTCACTCAAGGGACATAAATACGTTCAGGAACATAAACTATTTAACATTTTTTCTTACCCTTATTCCACGTATAAGACATTTTCCTCCCAGTAAAAGTTCCTTCTCAAGTTACTGAAAAGCTTGTGACCTATCTCAGGTAAACCTTCCTTATTGCATTATTTCAAAAAATCTTTTTTTCTTTTTTCAAGCTCCTGTTAGACTTTAATCTACATGTAAAAACAGGAGTTTATACTTATTAGGAATACCTATCAATAGTAAGTTTACTAATGCATAGAAGATAAACATGCCACGAAGTATTTAAGAAAATTTTCTGGTTTTAAAACATACATATACAAATTTATTTTGTTTTATTTAAAAAGAAAGTATGAAAACGGACCTATAAAGAAAACCAGTGTAATAGTCTGCTTACCTTGCGAGCAAAATCCCCTTTCCCTTTACTGTAGGCTTTGTTCTCAAGGAAATCATACACATAATGAGCCAAAGCTGGGGATGCTTTCATCATTTCAGGAGTTAGTAGTAACTAACAGGAAAAAAATGGTATCTTATATTGATATGGTACTGGAAATTTACTCCTGTCTATAATTTTATCTGTTAGAAAGTTAAGAATATACAGAATTTTAATTCTGTGCTTTAAAAAACACAATTATACAGTTTATAAATAAAGTCATCAATAATTCTATTATCATTAACAGTTTGGTGCATATTTTTCTCATTGTGCTATTTTTGACTTTCAGTGCATCTAATGTCAAAGCTGTCCAAATGGATTTACCACAGTAGTCCTCCCTCTCCATACCTGTGATAAAGTTTAACTTATAAATCAGGCACAGTAAGATATTACCAACAGCTAAAAATAGAACAATTCTAATAAACTCTAACAAAAGTTGTGTGAATGTGGTCTCTCAAAATATCTTACTGTCCCCATCCTTTTTGTGATGGTAAGAGATGATAAAATGCCTACATGATTAGATGAGGTGAAGTGAATGACAATATGCATGTGACATAGTATCAGGCTACTAATGACCTTCTGACAATTCATCAGAAGGACGATCTCTACTTCTAGACCACAGCTGGCCATAGATAACAAACCACAGAAAGCAAAACCATGGATAAGGGGAGACTCCAGTAGTCCATTTTCAGGCTTTACAGTTTATACTATAAAGATCCACAACAGTAAACTATTATGTTATTCACATTCTAATTCTAATGTTAATATTAATAGAAAGTACATAAAATAATCCAAATAAAAACTCTGAAGCATCATAAAGAAGCACGAAAACAAAATACGGCCTTCACAACTGTTAATGACATAACCTACTACTTAGTTCCTTCAGTGGAAGGTTTTGACATACATTGAGTTCATTAGATGCAATATATACGGTACAGCCACTTTTAAAAGATTCATTTAAGGAGCCAGACTTGGAAGAAGGTAGTTATCTTCTATATCTAATAATTGATATAGATTTTTACGCAATTAAAGCTAGTACATTAAAAAAATCAAAATGTTTGACAAGAGTCATACCAATCATTTCCAACGTTCAGTTTTAAGTCAGAAGACAAAGGTAAATATAAGAGATTATATGCTTTTACTATCCTTTCAGGAAATAATAATGCCATGGAATTACAATTATGGTTATAAATAAACCAAATCGAACTTATAAATGCTTTTATAAATGTGTAAGAGAGAGAGAAACTTTCCCAACAAAATATCCAGTATAGCATTAGCTAAGTTTCACTAAATACTAAGGCAGGGTCAGTAAACCTTTCATAAAGGTTCATATAGTAATTATTTCAGGTTTTGTGGCCCACTGTGTTTGCTGAAACTACTCAACTCTGCTGTAGTAATGTAAAAGCAGTAACAGACGATAATAAACTAAATGGATGGCTGTGTTCTAATAAAACTTAATAAAACATGTGGTGAGCTAGATTTGGTCTGCAGTCTGCCATTTGCTGACCCTTGTTCTAGAGGATGGAGTGGGGATCTAAATAATAGAACATTATATACCTGGGCTGAGGCTGGGTCTACTAGTAAACCTTTGCAAATTATTCATTGGAATAAAGAACTATAATGTAATATCATTATTATATCTGGCATCTGGGTACCCATGTCTAAAACAAAGTTACTTCTGGGAGTCCTAACAGCTCATGCAGTAACCTGTGAGACAAATTTTGTTATTTCATGACAGAAATCTATAAATCTAAGATACTACATGTCAGAAACAGTCCCTTGAATCTATTCCTCCCTTGAACTATCCTATAATTTCAGAAGCCTTAGACTCATTATGGACCATAGGAAGCATTTATCAGGAATGAAAATCTGCTAGCTTTGGATACACCTTGAAGAGTTACTATCCACTGAATTGGAAACATTAAACTGTTTGGTGTACCATCAAACACCTAGACTTTACAGTAATGTAGAAAAGATAGGTGTATGCATCTAACCCTGAACACACAAAATCCCGATCACTCAGTGTCCAGAAAACTTCTTCATCAATAAACAGAGAAATAATGTTGATAAATTACTGCGCAGACTGCATGTCACATTGGACATGCTACTCAAAGGTGGTATTCTATTCCACTATTATATTAAAACATTACTTAATAAAGAAAAATCTACTCTATCTATACGCTATATCAAAATAAAAATCCATGAGTAATAATAAACAAGGACTTACCTGCAAATATGCATTTAGATCCTTTTTTCTCTTTTCTAAAAAATCTCTATCCATATTATTAAACGTCTTTTTACCAGGAAGCTTCAATATGCTTGACAGATTTTCAAACTAGAAGATAAAATACATTCAATAATTTTAGTTTTATAGTATTTTTGAAAAAGTATTTTCCAAATAACAATCCTCTATTTATCAAAAGCATCTTTAACAGATTATTTTGCAATGCATTATACTAAGCAAAAATAAGAAAATATGTCCAAAACACAGTAGTAATGCTATTTATTAATAAAGGAGTATTTTCAATTAAGAATGACAAACATGAATAACTAATAAAGATGGGTGTTGTCCACATGGGATTTCATTTTAAAACTCCTGATTTTGAACAGAATTATCAATACTAAAAGGTTTTAAAAGTGTTTTCTGGGGCGCCTGGGTGGCGCAGTCGGTTAAGCGTCCGACTTCAGCCAGGTCACGATCTTGCGGTCCGTGAGTTCGAGCCCCGCGTCAGGCTCTGGGCTGATGGCTCAGAGCCTGGAGCCTGTTTCCGATTCTGTGTCTCCCTCTCTCTCTGCCTCTCCCCCGTTCATGCTCTGTCTCTCTCTGTCCCAAAAATAAATAAACGTTGAAAAAATAAAAAATAAAAAAACAAAAGTGTTTTCTTTAACATTTTGACTTACGAATAAAGTAATAGCAAATATATTTTTAATGATCAAAGATCCATGAGTTTATGGCTCTTTAAGAAATCTAACAAATCTTTTTTACTATTAATGACTTTAAATCAGTTAATCATTGTAATAGCTATTAAAAACAAAAGGTAATTTCAAAATACACATTACAATTATACTACAACTCTGTATAAAAACAATTATAGTGTAACACTGATACTTCTTCCCCACCAAACACATGAGAAATGAACTCAAAGATTACTAAGAAAAAGCCTAAGAGCCATTAATATGTATCTTATCTTTATAAAGCCACAAACACAAAGTATACACGCTCTAAGTCTAGCATTTATAGACTTAACATTTAGGCACACCTTCAAAGATCCACATATACAGTACTCTGCTGTGCCTTGCTAAAGCACAAATTTTAACTCTACCAGGGGCTAACAGAGTGTAAGAGCAAAGTCATTTAGCTAGTGACTAAGCCTGGCCAGCAGTCTAGTAATTGAAATTTCAAGCAATCTTAGTGTCTTTCCCATGTGATACATGCCCTGAAGTGAAACAAACTTTCTAAAACCATTCTTTGTTTAAAAACATCAACAATAATGGATCTATAGAGAAAATTCATTCCTGGTGCAGATGTTAAAGAGGAAATGAAAAGATGCAGGATGATTTATATCTCCAAACTGAAAGATTCAGATAATTTATTTTATTTTTCAATATTTATTTATTTTTGGTAGTGCAAGTGGGGGAGGGGCAAAGAAAGGGGAACAGAGGATTCAAAGCAGGCTCTGCGCTGACAGGCTGACAGCAGTGAGTATATGCAGGGCTCGAACCCACGAGCCGCGAGTTCATGACTTGAGCTAAAGTCAGATTATCAGCCTCAACCGACTGAGTCACTCAGGTACCCCATTCTGATAAATTTTTAAATGGAATGGCAAATCAGATAGTTGCTTGACACTATAATGTGAATAAGTTCATTGTATGTTATACATGAAAGGTAAAGGCAACTCTTTTGCCTCAACAAAGGCAACCCCCCCCCACAAAAAAAAATCAACAACAACAAAAACAAAAAAAGGAAACATGCAATTTACAGGGAAAATGTTATGCTAGAGTGATATTCATAAATTTGTTTGGCCACAACAGTATTAAAATAGGTCCTCATTAGATCAAATGTCCAGTGGAGAGCTCCTGGTTTTAAGAATTTTTTTTTAAAAATCATACCTTATGGAAATAAATTTTTTCAAGGGGTCCTAAAAATATTTAATTTTCCAGAATATTACTTATCTACATTATCCTAAACTACTGATTTATTTTTAATATAATTTATTGTCAAATTGGTTTCCGTATAACACCCAGTGCTCAGCCCAACAGGTTCCCTCCTCAATGCCCATCACCCACTTTCCCCTCTCCCCCAACCTCTCAGCAATCCTCAGTTTGTTCTCAGTATCCAAGAGTGTCTTATGGTTTGCCTCCCTCCCTCTCTGTAACTTTTTTTTCCCCCTTCCCCTCCCCCATGGTCTTCTGTTCAGTGTCTCCAGATCCACCTATGAGTGAAAACATATGGCATCTTTCTCTGCGTGATTTATTTCACTTAGGATAACACTCTCCA